CCTCTGAACAAATCTTGCCAAGAAAACCCTGTGATAGGTTCAGCTTAGGGTCGCCATAAGTTAGAAATAACTTGAAGGCACATATCAACATCAACATCATCATCATCAACAACTTTTAAATACTAAAGACAAGAACTTGACACACGTCAGGGTGACAGTGGAATATCTATCCTCTGGTAGAATTTTGATGAGGGTTATTGCTGTATCAAATATTGGGGATTTCTTTTTCCAAGGCTGGCTTTCCCGGGGGGGGGGGGGCTACTAGAGAACTGGCACTGCTTTGAGTAGCTCCTCAGAGCCAGGTTCTTCATAAATGCCTAGCTCTGAGGGGTCCTTGGTGTAAGTGAGATCACCTGGAAAACCACTTGTGCCACAGTAATTGCAATCTTCATGGCTCACGGCCATCAAAATTGCTGTCACACTTGCCCATCTTTATTCATTTTTTTAAAAACAGAGTGAAAACAATACTGGAGGCAAATCATTGCAGGAGAGTGATTGTCATTCTTTGAAAACTCGAAGTCTAGCAATTTGAAAAAACAAATTTCAAGCTTGCCAAGTAGAGAGAGGCAAGCAAGCACTATTGAGGCATTCCAGACATATCTGTAGTTTCCATTAATATATGGAAGTGTTTCCCAACTTTTGTCCTCCAGATGTTTTGGACTTCAGCTCCCAGAATTCCTGACTGTTGGCCAAGATGTCTGGGGCTTCTGGGAGTTCATGTCTAAAACATCTGGAGGACTAAAGTTTGGGAATCACTGGTTTACAGGTTGTGTCTGTTTTATAACATCTTGTTCATCATGGCTTCAGGGAGTAATAATAAATAGCTTCTTTATGCTTACTCTCCAACCCCTTCTGCCTGGAACAGGAATGGAAATTGGGCAATGGTTAGTTACCATTAACCCATGGCCAAGGTCAACTAAAAGAGATAAAGTGGGAAGAACCCACAAAGAGGAGCCTTTTTAATTAACAATGGAAAGGATCCTTGCTGCAAGGACTTCGGTTCTGAGAAAACATTATACAAGTTAAATCTCCTTTATCCAGAATTCCAAAATCTAAAAAAGTGTCCACATGGGTGTCTGAGAGAGTGAAACTTTTGCTTTCTGATGGTTCACTATATACCAACTT